TATACCATTTACAACTTCACATTTTATACATCCAAAAAACTTGAAAACAATATTAAACTTTTAAATTTATCATTTTGTTAGCCCTTTCGCCTCCTTTGAGTGCAAAGTGGGAAGAGAAATTAGAGGGACACGACAAGAAAGTTAACATTAAAACTCCAATAAGTCTAGCTATGGAATATTATATGTGAACTGCATTCTCTGGTGCCATCGAGTCAATACATGTTGCTAGAGTTGTGTATAGTTAAGAGGGCTGGGATATTATGTGGGCATCATATGATGGATGATTTTAGATGATTGCTATTAGAAGATGAGCATTGCTGGTCGAATGATGATATACCCAATAGTGTAATGGGAGTCGGATGACAAGTGTCAAATATTAGATCACAACGGGTATTGATAAAAAGACATATGTGAATGTCGGGATGGTGACAAACAGTAGACATTAGCCGAGTCACCCTCAACTTGAGCTTAAGCATGATCAAGTAATCGAGTTTGAGCTCGAGCTTAATTCTATGAGTTCGAGCTGACTTGTCTATTTTGAAAGAGAATATGACTAATGACAAATGAATGAATGCTAGTTTTTCCTTAGAATTTTGATAAACTGAATATTTCTTTAAGAATAAAGTTAATAGAATTGATGCATGTTGGATGATTTGTGACAATAGAGTAATAAATTAGCGTATAAGTACTAGATAAAGATCCAACGCACAAAGGATAAAAGAAAAGTAAGCAAGAGGAGAAACCTAGATTTTTTATGTGAAAAATCTTGGAAAAAAATGCGGAGCCTCAACCAATTGGGATAATTCACGATGTAATTTTAAGCACACAGACTCGCTCTCTTCTTAAATTAGAGAAGATCAAGTTGCATTGTTGATGTAGAACAATAGTTCCACAAGAATAGTTATAATATGTTGTAATGGTCATAGTTGATTGTTATGAAAGTAATAACACTTCATGAATGTTGTAGACAATGATTGTAGCACCAACTGATTGTAGAGGCCATAGTCAAAGGTCATGATAGCAGTTGGTCATGTGAGTCATAGATTGTGGCTTCAAAAGCATTGGTTGGAAACATAGATCAAAGTTCATCATTGTCAAAATAATTGAAGAAAGTGGAGGAATATTTTAATTATATTAAGGGTATGTTTGGGGCAGCTGTAGCTTACTGAATAATCTGCTGATAAGTTAGGTACGACGATTATTACAAATTTTTATTTTTTTGAAAAAGTCAGACCTCAGCCAGAAAGCTCGTACCCACCTAGATAGGTGCGGCGTGAAAACATTGTTTTCAACATTTTGAAAACACATAAGCTGCCAAAACGCAGTTTACCCAAACAGACCAGACGCGTTTTAAAACGATATTACACCAAATAAGCTGCCCCAAACAGACCCTAAGTCATACCTATGACAGAGCATATATAGTGAATTGTAGTAAATAACAAAAGAATAATATTTCATGCATAACGAAATATGAACATTAAAGTGCATTAAAAAGGAAAAACTCAGCGCGTACCTGTCGACTCTAACAAAGTTTTTAAAAAATTGCAATTAGGTAGCACAAGTGTATATAACAAGATTAAGCAAAATAGTTGCAATTTAAAAATAAAAAAAAAGATTTTAAACATGTATGTTTTCATAAAAAGTTTAGTGATGAGCATATGAAAAATCAGAAAGGGGTATAAGAATTTAGGCTGGGATGGCCTCAGCTTTAGACTTTTCATTCATTATAATTCCAAGGCAACTGAGACATCGAAGTCTATATACCAATATTGAATAGCAGCTACCAGCAAAACACTCTAGTGTTAAAAATGGCGAAGTCTGCTTTATACATGACATCTCACCATTGGACTCCGAATGTATTTAGAGTCTTGGTGTAATATTTTTTCATGACGGCTAGGGTTCTCCATCGAACGGGTAAGGGTATGCTGTGAGGAGTTATGTGAGATTTTTAAAGAAGATTTTATTATTATTACTTTTAAATTAATTTCTTTCTTTTCTTCTTCATTTTTTAAATTTTAAGTTAAATCTTTTGATTTATGTGATTTTTGTTCGTGCACGAAACCATAACAATATGAGTATCTTTCGTAGGTAAAATTAACGTTCTGGACGCACCCGTGTAGTCCGTTTCATCACCTGGGATCATCTGGACAGTTTTGTTGATGATCTAGTCAATTTGTGTTTGGCCCACGCACAGCGTGGCAAATACAATTCGTCGACTCGATCAGAGTCCTCTACCAAGCTAAACGTCGACCCGACCTCACTAAGCGATGACCAATGTCAAGCGGAATGGTCTCGGCAGCAAGTTGGTCAACCTATGTCGAAGGGTCTCGAATTCGTATTATGCATGTTTTCATTTCATTTTTTTAAAATTTGAATTTTATTTTAGATGGTGAATTATGTGTGGATTATGGTGTTTGTGTGTATATTGTGTAAATTATGATGTATGTGAATGTGATGTGTCGAAGAACAAAAGCTTCTAAGTTCAAATGGTCTCCCTAGGACACTCTCAATCCTTATAGAAACTCACTTTAACTTTCAACATATTGGTTCCAATCGGCTCAACTATATATTGAGGATTTGGAATCACAAATATGAGACTTAAGGGAAGCCAATGGCAATTTGACTTTCTAAATAGGGTGGGTCTCATCACTAGTCCTCTAGAAGAGTCAGTAGGGAAGTTCTATGGCTAGATCTCAGGTTATAAAGAAAGGTACAAACCTCTCCAAAAAAATAGAGGTCAACAACGGGTTGTAGTTAGTCACATATGTCATGGTAATGAGCTGCAATAACGCTTGTATGTCACAAAAATTTTAGTTCATATCTGCAATAGCGTCAATTAGACATAAAATATGAAGTTAGGAGCTGTAAGGGTTGTAATTACTTAGGCTATATTTGGTCACATAGGCCATGAGGATGAGAAGTAATAAAGTTGGAGGTGCAATACATCCGTAGGCCATGAAGGTTGGATTTGGGAATCTCCCTATCTCATAAATGCCGAAGTTGGGGGCTGCAATAACAATCATAGACCACAGAGGACGAGGTTATGAGCAGTAAGAGTTGTGAGATTCATAGGCTATAATTGACATATAAGACATAATTATGAGCAACAATATTATATGTGGGTCACAAAGGACAAAGATAAGAGAGTTGCAATAATATTTATAGGTCATAGAGGTTGAAGTTGAGAGTTACAATAACATCATAGATCAGAAAGGCTGAAGTTGGGAGTTGCAGGAGCTATGAGTCACATAGTTGATCGCTGACATGTAGCTCACGATGTCTAGCTGTGATAACATCAATTGGTCGCAAAGGGTCGTAGTGGGCCAAAAACTTCAGGAGTCCGCAAGAAATTATTATATCCTATATATAACGGTTGTAAGCCTTTTTCATCGAGAATTATCACTAAATCTTTAATACAATTATTCGTTACCCTGTTTTAGTGGTTAGTTGCCACTGTCACGATCCAACTCCGTGTCATCCATCATAACAAGGTGGGTCACCTCGTGTCGAGGTTATAACAGATAAATTATTACCCATTATCTATTTTGAAGGAGTTTTATATGCTTATTTTTCTTTAATTTTCATAAATACAAAGCCATTAGCATCATCAAATATTGTAAAATAAAAAATACCTAAAATTCATTGAGATCGATACACAATAATTTTGATTTAATATATCTATCATCAAAATACACAAATCATCATGACTGAAAAAAAATATTGATCTAAGATACTCATATCCCCAATAATAACAATAACTCAAAAGTCTTAACTCAACGTGAGTTTTCCCCTTCCATGAAATAACACATGTGAGTCAAGCAAGGGTGAGTAATCACAGTTCACTGTATATATAGACACACACACACACACACACACACACGTATTCAATACAAAGAAATCTAACATGCTAAAACATCGTGTGTGGTATCTATCACAATGTCAATACTAAAATTATAACTACAGTAATTATATGTTGAGTAACAGTACAAACAACATGATATCACGAATGTATTAAAATAGCAAGCACATTTTTTTATTTGAACTATTTTAAATTTTCTTTTTGCCCCTTACATGTCTAGTTTCACTTATATCTCTGATTATTCATATATCTCATATGTCTCTTATAACTTCACCTCCATTCATACTTTCACTTGTTTACATCTGTTCACAAATGTCCACATCTGACCACTTTCACTTATACTCAATGCAGTTTCAACTTCTTAAACCAGCCAGATACTTCAATTAGATCATATTCTCCTTATGAACTTCATGCTGTAGAATTTTTAGAGCCTCCCTTCTGTGAAGACCATAACAAAACATTCCCAAAAACACTGCCAAACCCTAAGCAAACCATCCTCTCTCGCTTCCCGCAACATGTGTGATTTTAGAGAACATTTAATATTTATACTTATAGATTTTGTGAGTGACATATCTTATAAATATGGTAGGAATCTAGACCACTTCATATAATGAATTAGAATGATTCTCTTGATCGAGCGACATTTTATGAATATTTTATTGCCTTAATGATGTCAGACTTTAGTGATTTTGGACTTGTTGAATTTGTCTTAACAAGATGCTTGATCATATTAGAAATCCATTTAATATTCCAATTAGTCACTAAAAAACTTTCAAAAGTGGTTCAATAGTTTGATTCAGACTTGATTTAACTCGGGGGACCAATTTTGATGACATTGTGTTTGTCTCGTTTAGCCTGTCGATTTGAATAAAGTTTGTTGAAATCAAAGTTCTAGATGATTTTAATTTGAATTTGAAGATTTTTTGTTAAAAAATTGTCTTGATATTTGTATTAATCTTGTTGAGATTCATCTGAAATGACAAAATTCATTAATGATTTATTTAAAAAAAATGATTTACAGACAAAATTTAATTTTTAGCTTTATGTACGACATAAAAATGAAAACCAACAAACCCCATATAGCTAATTCTACCCAAGCCGGTCTGAAACTTTACTCGGCCGGTCGAATCCTCAGATTAGATCAAATTCTCCTTAGTCCTCATGAACTTATGCTGCGGATTTCCAGATCCTCTTTTTTTCCGGCAGGGCTGCGACAAAGCGTTACAAAAATACCACTAAACCTAGGTCTACCATCCTCTCCCGCTTCCTCGCTACATGTGCGATTTTAGAGACAAGTAGTGCAAAATTGAGCTTTGGGCTTCATCTCACGCGAGGCGGGGAAGAGATAGATGGCGTCTCTGTTCAAGGTCAGCCCGCTCAATTCCATTTTTTTTTTTATCTAATGATATTTGGTTCATAATTGAGGTAAGGGATAGAATGCTGATAATATTGCTTTTGAACATATTTTGTCTGAACTAGTTTGTGATGCGTCTCAGGGGATGTTTGGTAGCAGGATTTGAGCGGTTTTTAACCGAAATCCTGCCAAACAGCAAAAATAACATCTTTTACAGGTTCTTAAATCCCTTTTTTCGTTTTACGTTAAATCAGTGATTTAGTAAATCCCTTTGGAACATGGATTTATGAGATTTCGAGACGCTGTAGCGCGTGAATGCGGCTAGGAAGAAGGGGTAAAAGGCCACGGTTACCTTCCTCAATGGTTTCCTGTAGGAACGGAGTCAAAGGAGAAGAAAGATGGGAGTTTCCGTGTTCTTTGTATGCTGCTATCCCGTCGTTGCCTTCCCAGCCAGATCAAATCGCGACTCTCTGGGGTTAGGTTAGGAAGGCAATATTTTTGGCAAGGTTTGTGAAAACTGGACCGGACATCGAACGGGGCAGATGCAAAGGTTGATGGTTCAATGTTTCAGCAGGGTTTGAACCAAAGGTGGTTTAGGGCAAGAGGATATGTAAATATTTAATAATGAATTAATAAAAAAAATACATATTAAAGTTTAATTAACTTAATAAAAATCTAATAATTATTGTTTAGTTCAATAAGAACTAATCAAATTATAATTAATGCATGTTTATTTATTGTTTATTATAATTAATCTAATAATTTTTTTTATTAATTATTAATTATTTAAATAAATACTTAATTATTGATTATCATAATTATAAATAAAAGATTTTTAAGTAAATTTAATTAGAATTAATAATTATATCATTAATGTGCAATACTAACTCATACTTCAACTATAAAATTTAAATTATGAAATAAGTTGTCAAACAGTGACAGGAGATTTAACAATATCATACCAAACAGTCTCTAGAATTTAAACACCTCAAAACTGATTTATACGATTTACAAAATCCTATTTAAGTTAAATCCTACTTGCAGCAAACAACCTCTTAGTTTAGCTGTAAAGGCAACCGACTTCCTCTCAATTTGTAATTCTGTTGATTTTTTCTCAATTTTTTGCAGTTAGAAGCTCCAAAGTGTATCTCTTTCATTGTGTAGCTAAGCTACATTTGCATTTCATGTTTCTGCTTATTCGGCCCAGTTTTTTTCTTAAAATATGGAACTAATACTGACACCATAATGTTTTGAACTGGTGCATTTAAAGGACCCGAACAAGCTTTCTGCTTATAGAGATAGAAGGTTCCAAGGCACACAAGAAGAGTATGAGCATGCTTTGCAAACCTCGACAACGGTTTATATTGGCAATTTGTCGTTCTACACAACTGAAGAGCAGGTTTATGAGCTATTCTCCCGTGCTGGGGAGATCAAAAAGATAATTATGGGTCTAGATAAGAACAGCAAGACTCCTTGTGGATTTTGCTTCTTAGTGTAAGCTTTTCCACCCACACTCAGATAGTTCCATCTGTGTGAATTTTTTAATCACCTCAACAAGCTTTATTCTATAAACTTGAAAGTTTGTCATGGCTAACTTTTGATTTAGTTCAATATATTTTTTTTTGAATGTCATGTGATTTAGTAGGGCTAAGGTTGGATAGCTTTTTTATAAATCTAAAAAGAACTAAGAAATATGCTTTGCATGTTTGGGATAAATTGTGCATCTTCGTGTTAGAAGTAATTGTTTGAAATATTTTGGACAACCAAAATTTTTTTAAATAAAACAAGCTCAAAAAATTTGCCTAGCATGCTAACAAATAAAGTATTTATAGAATAATTTAATCACCAGAAAATATAGATTCATTAAAGTAGTAAAATTAAGAATAATAAATAATGCTTGGATTGAAGAATAGTTGTTCTTCTCTGATGGAACTTCTAGTGTTCTATTTATTTTTTTCTCAAAGCAAGAGTACATGCATTACCGATTATCTCCTTTGAACCACATTTTACTTATATATATAAGACCATTTTCTGCCCAATACAACAACAAAGCAATCAAATTTTGGAAACAAGGACATACAGAAAAAAATAGTTTTAACTACCCCAAACAGTAAATAGGAATAAAGGGAATATGCAGAAGAATAGAGGCGTGAGGTCTCAGTTGGGTGGGCACAAGTTATGGCTGCTGCATTAAACCCCCCTTTCTTTAGAGGAACTCGATTTGAACTTCATTTCGATAACTTCAAAGGCATTTGTAGGATTGTATTTAAAGGCGTATATAATGTTGAAGTTTTTTGCAATTTTTAAAGGTTCAGGTAGATCTACAACATACTCATTATTGCCTATTTTATTTTTGTACCAAGAACAAACACATTTTTAAATTGAATTTTTTTTTTTTTTTCGGGTTGCCGGTAATCCTAACTTGAAACCCTTATAACCTCACATATGCTGTCTAGGATAGGTAATGGAATTTATAGACCCATGTTTGAAGATTACCCTTTGGGAGATTGGTGAAAACTGCATTTTCGTACAAATTTGATGATCTTCTCTTCATTCGTGGCAAGTAGAATCGTTCTTTGACAATGACTATGGGTTTGTCGCAATCAGCTTGCGTGGATAAACCTTCCACATATAAATCTTGAATGATAGGCGCATACAGGGATGTCTGTGTGATGCAAAGTTGGTTCCCCTTAAACAGAAAACCTTGCTGGACGTTGAAGCCTCTGAAATTAGCATGCCATCTCAAGTTCTTTTGATATCATGCAAATAAAAATCTTCCTAATACAGGTTTATTTAGAATGTTAAATCAAATAATCTATCTATTAAGGGAATAAGAACTGCATCCCTAGGGCTTATGGCTGTAATGTCTCGATTCAAGTGATAGGTTCAATGTTCGAAGCTTCGGATCTCATGAATGTTAGATGGGTTTGGCCAATCCTATATGCAGATAATTCACTCTTTTTTTTGACTCGAATGCTGAGGTTGTTTATGATTTACACTCAGAATATGACTTGTGAATTTAGGAATGAACATTTTTTTAGATTAAGCACAAGTTGGTTTCACCCTATGACTTTTAGTACTGATCGGCACTGTTCCAAGTGGGTGAGATGCACTTTCTTGGATTTGCTTTATAGTAGGATATTTTCAAAACACACAGTGGTTAATCGTCCAATGGAATTCAGGCCCTACTTAATATTTTCAAACCTGTTGCTGTCGATGTGGAGAATATTATCTTTGATCCATATCTTTAATTGCATATTGTTATTTTTTATTATACTTTAGACTTGCGTTCAATATAAATTCTACTTTTGCCTTTCATAGAATAAGAAAAGTACATAGTATTCTTCTCTTATGGTCTTTTAACAAAAATAATACAAAACAGTGAATGAATATTGTAGAGTTCAGGGCTTGTTTTTAGGGAAAAGTATATTCATACCGAACAATTCCTTTGTATTACATGTCTAACACCTAAATTTTGATATTTACATTTATAACACTTTAGTATCATAAAATTATGTATGAAATGGTGTACTTCACTTTTAAAATTTAGCTGGAGTTGTATTTTTGATGTGATATTAAAGATTAGAGTGTTATGTATGTAAATTTTGAAGTTTAGGTGTTAGATATGTAAATACATAAGAATTTTGCAGTCTATATGTAAATGATCCTTTTTTTGTGCTCATGTACTGCACAAATATGAAACTAGTTTTTTCATTTTTAATTTTCTCAATGTGAAGCCAGAACAAACAGTAATGTGATTATTTTGTCCTTAGGTATTATTCTAGGGAAGATGCTGAAGATTCAGTTAAATATATCAGTGGAACCATTTTAGATGATCGATCTATTCGAGTAGACTTTGATTGGGGATTTGAAGAAGGTAGACAATGGGGCCGCGGTCGCAGTGGTGGACAAGTGATATTCTATTTTTCATCTCTTTTGTTCTTTTTGGCTGATTGTTTTCTTATTGCAGAATTTGTGCTCATGATGAGTTTTTTTTTTAGGTGCGTGATGAGTACCGTACGGATTATGATCCAGATATCCTTTAACCGGAACATGTTTTTATGTAAAATAGATTGGAGATCTGTTTAATTTCTATTTCCTTACTTTTTCATTTGTTTTGAGATGCTATTATGTTTCAATGGTGTTCAATTATTTGTTTAAATTCCTCATAATAGTTTTTGATATATCGGTATGAAGTGCTGAACTTAGTTTCCTAATTTGACTTTTTACTCGTCCCAATCGTTGTTCACTCATTTTACGTGTGCCAGCTGAAGATGTTATTAATTTGGCTTATTCAGATTAGAGAATGATGCCTTTTTATGTTTTTTCCCATGATTTTTTCTCTTCCTTAACTCTTAATACGTAGGGGTGGTTATGGAAAATTGGTCCAGAGAGAGTTGGAGGCACAAAGAGAATTAGTTGATTATGGCGGAGGATCATTGGACTCTTTTCAGCCAAACATGCCTTCTCACTGTAAGTTTTGTGGCTTGTAATAATGATTACTGTGTTTGTGTGTCACTTTGCTGAAACTTCCCGCAGATAAAACAATTATTGTTAGTGGTCTACGCGGGTTATAAAAAGTTGGTGCAATTTGAATATTTGTATTTCATGTCTTATATGGGAAAAGTGAATTTGCTAAAAATGTTGAATTAAATGGTGTTTTGGTGGGAGAATTGTAAGGGATAAGAGCTGCGTGCTTTTTTTTTTTTTTTTTTTTGTTTAAGGCATGTTATTCAGTTTTTGGTGAATCTGACTGACTTAAGGGGTTTCCATTTGAAGTTTATGGGTCATTTTGTGATTGATTGCCTTTTCCACCTTGCTGAGATGGATGTTATGTTGGCTGAGATGGGTGCTGAGTCTGGTTAACCACATCGCCAAGGTGGATGTCTTATTGTTGAGTTTCGTTATTTTTCTCTATTGGATAGGCAACTGAATTCAAGACTGATAATTTCATGGATAAATACAAATTTTATTTTCATGAGTTAGTTTCAAAATTTATGTTTTGATTTGATTTTTACCCGCTTTAACAGTGCACTAATATTTAGAAGATTCTTTTGAAGTGCAAATTATGATGCTCCCATCTGAGTTAATTTCGTCGAACCACGTCGTTTTTTATTTATTGTTATATCATATATATTTTTTTATCTTTACCTCTACTTTTTGATTAATTTCTGAACAATTGTTATTCTATTCAACTGTGAGGTTCCATGGGAATAATAAGAGCAACGCCTTTTATGAATGGAAATGTAAAGATTTATAAGTTTGATAGAAAATATTTTGGCTGCAAAGATGAAGTCGACATTTATGAACTGAGAAGATCAGGTTCTCTTCGATGGATAGCATTGAAGAGTCAATCTCCCACCCACCTAGAATGTTGTTGTCAATATACTTACTACATGAGAAGACTCTGATTGGATCATTGAAAGCTCCTTCAAATGCGAATAAAAAGTCATTTGTTATAAATGACATATTTATAATGAGAAAAAAAACATAATCACAGGAGGATGGAAGATTCCTTTGCAACAAACATGTAAAAATAATTTGATCACAATTTTATTGAGTTTGGTTGATATGAAGTTTTGCGATGAAGTGCATGTCTAGAAATTATCATCTTTCTTGGAGAGCTAGAATGGAACAACTCTATGGATTGATGGATTTGGAGATCAGTATGTTCAAACTTAATTATAGGTAGGGACATCTAGGGAAAAGAATCAAATGAAGACTCTCCTTCTTGAAGATAGACAACCTTCTACAAAATTGGATTGAGATCGATATTAGTTTTGAAAAAAAATCCAACACAATAATTAAAGGAAAAATCAATCCAAAAGCTGCAATGGCGCATACTGGCAATGTGAATGTAAGGAGATTGTTCACTAAAGAAAAGGTGTTAAAATTGAACTATGAAGAAGTTGGTGCATGCAACCACAAAAGATGATTCAAGATGTATTAATCCTTGAGGTTATAGTCGGGTTGATCTTAGATCTTGCAGTCAAGAAAGCTTTTTCATTTTGCTTCATTTAAAGAGCTCCTGTGCTATTATTTTGCAAGCAATAATGAGGAAATCTATTTTGTGTTGATTAGCCTTGTATTGTAAGAAATTTTGATCTCAAGTTAAGACGTCTAATATGATAATGTTGAAGCTGGGAGGCATTTTGATCTTGAAAGGGAAATCGATCTAGATCGTGTTTAGGTAAGAAGGATTTTTTGTCTTATTCAGCAGAAGAGACCCTTGTTTATAAAATGGGAATGAAGACAATGGTCTGATGGGCACCCAACTAAATATTGCCAACTTAATATAATTAGGAAACAATTTTATTTAAAAGCTAACACCTCTCAAGATGAAGCATATATATTAATTTGGTTATGCTTGTTACATACTTTATAAAACTGTAATAGACCATTTTGGTAAATATATCTACTGATTGTATGTTCTGGAAATTTGTGCAGTAATAACTTTTTTGGTATCACTGTATCTTTACTATAGTAAGAGTTAACTTCAAGGTGTTTGCGGCAATGCAGATAACAGCAATGCTGCTTGACTATCAAAGTTTAAGATCATGGTTCTACATTTGAAAAATCAAATTCTTCTTGAAGGAACTTTACTCACACTATTTCACATATAGAGCATGCCATAGTTTTATATCATGCCTTAGCATCTGATCTTCCTAGCACTATTTTCTTCTTTCTCTTCCAAATGCTAAATTTCATCCAACAAATAGACAATACCCATAATTAAGTTTTCTTTCTTTCATGATTCAACATTAGCCAATTTTAGTATATTTTCCACATTGAAATTCCTAGTATTGGTTAATATTATTCTTTTTCTTAGGGTACCCTTTGCTATATCTCAGGATACACATAGCAGCTTTTCAATATTGACGTTCGGGAGTTTATGTGTTGACTGATAATTCCTACAGTAAAGGATATATTGGGCGTAATGATAATAAGATTAATTTACCAATAAATTTGATATAATGAAAAATATTTTTAGAAGTTTCTAATTTATTAACTACATTTTGAGTTTTAATGAGAATGTTAACAAATTTACAACCTAAAATACTAGGCTCTATTAGAAGATTGGTAACATTTTTTCTTTGAGATAGGGCATACTCAATTTAAAATAGTATTTGGAATGTCTTAGATCTTTGGTTAGAAAGCATTTTTGTAGATATAGTTTTCCCTCGATAATTTTTTATTAATTACTCTCGATAAGTAGAGTGCCATCTACAAAGACTACCGAGATAACAGAGCTCCAGTGTGCCTTACAAAGTTGGAGTGATCTTTTAGGCTCTGCGAGGGTTGTGTCTTTGGCAAGAAATTTTCAATATTTATTGAACTAAGTTGGTGGTTAGGTCCATTGATGGTGTTTTTAAGCTTACAGATTTTGGTTTCACCTTGAGCAGCCTACCCTTGTGGCTGCTCAAAGGTGAAAAGGCTTTAGTTACTGTGACATAGAGAAATGAGTCACTTAGATCCATTACAACAATATCCAACCTTGATAGATGATTACAAATCAAAGAATTTGAATTGAGTTTAGCTTGATAGCTTAGGAAAACGTTTAGTAGTTTATTCTGTGAATTTAAGTAAAAGCTTTGGTGATAAAGAGTGTCTTGTATCTATCAATGAAACCGTCCATGGGGTTGCTCAATTGCTTTATTGCCATGATTGCCCATACATGTTGATTTAGTGAGCCATTGTTTTTAATATCTATGTCATGTTGCCACTAAAGATCTTATAGTGTCCTTTATTAAGAGTTGGGAATAGAAATTGTTGACAAAGTATAAAAAAAGTGATAAAAGCTGAGAAAAGATGATCAAAATACATAGAGGGCTAAATAGGATGGTTAATACACTACATTTGCCATTCCAAATGACAGTGAATAAAATACAAAGAAATAAATCCTTTGAATGTGAATGCTTATCTGATTAGGTGAAATGTGAATGTAGGTGTTGTAGTAGAAGGATGAGTTCAACATATGTGAGAGGTAGAAATACATGTATATTGATGAATTTCTGGGAACAAGGACAAATGGAGAGATTAGTTTTGTGGAAGATGATTGGGAGTTGTAGATAGAGACTAGGTAACAATGATAATTAATAGCTTTTTCGAGAATTAGAATGTCCCAAAAAGATGCTTTGAATTACCTAAATAGAGAGTTTTTTTCCCGGGACGAAAAAAAAAAAAAAACATTATAGAGTTTTTTTCCCGGGACGATCTAATTGTAAAAAAAAAAAAAAAACATTATAAAGAAAACAAACCCAAAAACTCTAATTGTAGAGGAAAAGGGTGTTGACAACTTGCAATAGAAATTGGCCATCCTAGGATTGATGAGAAAAGCTTGGTGTTTGTAGAAAATAAAATAATAAAAAAACTCTTAGAAATCTACCTATTTCTTTCTACAAGAAGGAAGATATGTATATCTTCTATAGATATTATAAAATAGGAATAACACCAAAAAATGAGGAAAACATACATTGGGGCCGAAGATCCTATAGGAAAGCGCATAGATTACAATTGAAGGGTTATAGAGAAACATATGTAACAGTACATTGCCTCAATTGTGTGTCTCAAATTCTTTGCTATTTGAGGATCATAAATAAATAAATCTAACGGTACAATGGCTTGATCCTTGTGCCTTAAGTTTTTTGTTATGATTGGAGTAGAAAATCAACACTCTCTCAAAATGGATCTTAGAGGCCTACCATACCAAATTTGCTTATTATACATTTGGTTGCTGAGTCTTTTGATGAATATGTATGTTTGTTGATTTTCTTTGATATTGTCTAGTATATACATCAACTCTTTTATCAAAGTCTAATTTTTGTTTTAGTTAAGTTGAAGTTTCACACGGCTTGCACTCCATTATCTTGGTTCTTTTTAGTAGGTTCATAACATATTTTTGTTGGGTGAGAAACATAAAAGACCCATTGATTTTTGGTAGTGTGCTGTTTCATAACCATGGAATCAATTTCTTTTCAAAGTAACAACTTTGGATTTTTGGGCTCTAGAGTTGGATCCACGAGGTGTCGAGTATCTCCCTTTCTCTTTAGAATTGTCTTCACAATTGGAAATTATTTTTTGTAATTTTTTTCTGTTCAAGCGATTTGATTCTTGAAATACTTGAAGTTATTCGTTATCTGATTTTCGTCATTAATCACGATCAATTCCTTTGAATGGAAGTCAATGAACCTAGACATTGAATAAAAGGAGAATTCGACAAGCGGGATAAGTTAAAATTGGAAACTCTAACCTTAGAAACTAAGAACAAAAGTTGGAAATGAAAACCCTAATATTAGAGAATAAGAACAAAGGTTGAAAGTGCTTACAGAATAATAACAAAGGTTGGAAGTGGAAATTTTGACCTTAGAAAATAAGAGCGAAAGCTGAAAGGAACACTCTAACCTTATTCTGATACTAAGTAGAAAATAAAACTATAAAAAAACTCTCAAGTCTTCTCTTTTCTTTATTGAGAG